AGATGGTGATTGGAAGTTGCAAAAGAAAATCTTGAATTTTTGTCAAATCCCGGGACATTCTGCTGAGATTATAGGAAAAGCGGTGAAAAAATACTTGATTGGTTGGGGGATTAAAAACATTTTTTCTATCATCGTGGATAATGCGAGCTCAAATGACTTGGGAGTTCAATACTTGAAAAAAAGACTCCACTCTTGGAACACTCTAATTTTGTCGGGTGAGTTACTCCATGTAAGATGTTGTGCTCACATATTGAGTTTGATTGTGAGAGAGGGTTTGAAAGATATAGATGATTCCATTGTTAGAATACGCTCAGTTGTACGTTATGTGAGGTCTTCTCCTGCGAGGTTGCAACGGTTTAAGGAGTGCATTGAGCTAGAAAATATCGAGTCCAAGAGTCTTGTATGTTTGGATGTGGAGACTCATTGGAACTCAACGTACCTAATGTTGGAAGCGGCTTTGAAGTTTCAAAAGGCTTTTATCTTACTAGATATTCGGGATAGCAAATTTTTTGAAGAGCTTTCCAAGGTGAGGGGGTTGCCTACTAGTGATGATTGGGAATATGCCCATCAATTTCTTCCTTTCTTGAAGTTGTTTTACGATACAACTTTAAAGGTACCGGGTTGTTCTTATGTCACTAGTAATGATATGGCGAAAGATGTCTATGGGATTTTTATGATGATTGATATATATTGTGTGAATGAGGATAGGAGTTTGCAAGAAATGACCAAGAGAATGAAGACCAAATTCAATAAGTATTTTGGCAATGTGAACAACATCAATCTAACATGGTTCATTGGATGCATACTTGACCCTTGACATAAGTGGGAGTATGTGAAATGGATGATTAATCAAGTTTATGAAAGCAAGCGGGCGGAAACTTTATGAGATAAAGTAACATCATCTCTAACGTCATTGTTCGAGCAATACCGCATCGGTATATGCCCCCAAAGCAATTTGAGGTCAAAGGGTACAAGGACAATGAATGTGCCAATGTCTCCTGTGGTTGGTGCGGACATTATGACTGTAATGTATCTTAGCCAAACAGGACAAGAATATTTGGAAGAAAAATCCGAATTAGATAAGTATTTGGAAGAAAGATGTGAACGTTATAGTGCCGACTTTGATATCTTAAATTGGTAGAAAGTCAATTCTTCGAGATATCTTATCCTCTCTTCCATTGCTTGAGATATTTAGACTTATCCGAATTAGATAAGTACTTGACGTGTTTTGTAGCTCCTTGACCCCAAGCATGGTGGAGGCTCTTATATGTGCTCAAGATTGGCTACGATCCGCACCACTTTCACTTTCGATTGAGGAGGACTTAGAAGAACTCGAAAATTTTGAGTCAGGTGAGAAAAAATTATCATGAAATATTTTATATCCTTTACTATTGCAATAGATACTTTAATTCTCATTTTTATTGTGAATTTAATGTAGAGTTGTCAACTGTGACCGCGGAGCTGAACTCGATATTGGTTTCCCTTTATGATTGACGAACAAAAGAGAAGTAGTCATCTCCTTGATGTGTAAAGAAAGCAAGTGAGCACCGGAGATTCTGTATTCTTTTTTGTAGAATATGATTTCGGTGCTGATTTGTCATCTGTTCTGATACGAAAGTACCTCATTGGCAAGGCAATGGATTTTGATTTTTGTTTGGTATTGTTCTAAGTGACCCCAAAGATGATCCAATCACAACTATTTATGAATACCCACCACTTTACTTATTCCCAGAAACTAGATGTTTTAACCTTTGTTTGCTGTCACCGTTCCACTCTAATGTTCATGGTGGATGCTCGTCATTTTGGTCGCGTTTCTTGTTAAGTATGCATCGGCTTCTTTGGACGATTGTACTAGATGCATTGTGTTGGGGATCATGTCTTCTCGGATCTCCTGGAGAGAGATTGATCACCAGTCAGCCATGTTTTTTCTAATGCAAAAGATTCGATATTGACTTCTTAAGAAATGTAGAGTGACATTGAAGCTTTACTTTACCATCGGCAAAAGAACACTACAAGTGCCATAACTTGTGTACGGCGCTCACTTTGGTGCCATAAGTTTTTTTTGGATCACTTTAGTGCTAAAATTTTTGAAAAACGATCACTTAAGTGCTAAAATTTTTGAAAAACGATCACTTAAGTGCCAACTCCGGTGCCGTACATAATTTTTCGCCGGAAATCCGACGTGGCATTTTTTTTTATTAATTTTTAGGGACGTGGCTCGCCAGAGGCTCGCTGTAGATTGGCACTTAAGTGATCGTTTTTCAAAAATTTTAGCACTTAAATGATCGTTTTTAAAAAAATTTAGCACTTAAGTGATCGTTTTTCAAAAATTTTAGTACTGAAGTGATCCAAAAAAAACTTATGACACTTAAGTGACCGTTTTTCCTCCGACTTGGCACCAAAGTGATCCGAAAAAAAGTTATGGCACCAAAGTGATCTCCGTACATAAGTTATGGCACTTATAGTGTCCTTTTGCCCTTTACCATCTAGCCGCTGCTAGTTATTCAATTTTTATGCTCCAAGGCCTTCGGTTGGAGTTTATCAATATGCCTGGATCGCAATATATCTTCGGCTGATTGATGAGATTTGGCCTCTATTTTATGCAGTGCTGGTATTACTATAAGATCGTAGCCAATCTTGAGCACGACTTTTTTTTTTGGTCGGAACCTAGTTTAAATATGTGATTTTGTTTTTTCATTTTTCAATTTTAAATAATGAGTTTTTAATTTGTAATATATTTACAATCACTCAACTTATTTTAATTTGTAAGATCGATGATTCTCTTACGTAGAATATCATGAATATGTTCACATTTTGACATTAAAGAATAAAATCTAGGAAATAAATGTCGTTAAATATTAAAAAGAATTATTTAACTTTCATCTTATTCGAAATGGCGATTCAGCAATACTTAATCGAAATTATAAATAGTTGAATAGCGTAAATGACTAAAATATTTTCATAGGAATAAAAAGCAAAAAAGAAGAAGAAAAAACAGAAAATCGAGCCATGAATAAAAAGCAAAAAAAGAAAAAGAAAAAGAAGAAGAAGAAACCGAAAACTGATCCGAACCAAACCGAACCAAATCGGTTTTTCAGTTCGGTTCCAATTCGGTTTGAGCGAGTTTCAGTTTGGTTCAGGGGTACTTCCTTAACAATTCGGTTCCAATTCGGTTTGAGCGAGTTTCAGTTCGGTTTAGGGGTGCTTTCTTAACAATTCGGTTCAGTTCAGTTTTTCAAGAAAATCGAACTGAACTGAACCGTTTACAACCCTAGCTGTAGGAGAGGTTGGTGAGGGCGAGATCGGCGGCAGGAGTGTTGGTGACGATCATGGTGGACGGCGATGACGACTTGAAGAACCGATATGCCATGACTGTGATCGGCCAGCTCCTGCATCGCTGCTTCAAAAAAATTCCAGATCTGGCTGCAACACAGCTACGACCCCACAAAACCGCTTCGCTCAATTTCACTCAAATCCACAAATTCTCAAACTCTATAGATTTTCGCAGCCAGCCCAACAGAAGCCAGGGGCTCAGAAATGAGGAATCAACAGCGCGAGAAGTCGACATCTTCGATCAAACGAAAAACAGACAAGAACTCGACGAATATAAGTCAAAAACATTATCTAAGACCGAGATCGAGAGGCTGCGAAGACCCCCAGAAAGATTAGGCACTGGCTAGAATCTTCCGGCGAACGCTAGGGGGAAGAAGATGGAAGAAGCAAAGCACTTTTTTTTTCCTGTTTTTACTTTGCTAGAAAATAAAAAAATGAAAGGCATGAAAAAGAAGAGACCTTGTTTGAATAAAAAGCAAAAAAACAAAAAAATCGATTTTTCAGTTCAGTTCATATTCAGTTTGAGCGAGATTCGGTTCTATTTTTCAAAAAAACCGAATTGAACCAAACCATTTACACCCCTAGGAGGTAGTGGGATGCAATGGGTGAACTCTAGTTCCTAATTGAAAATCCTCCGACGTCCCAATCAATGGTGGTTATCCACTTTTAAGATGCTAATTGCTTGGACATGAAAGTCAAGAGAGAATGATCAAGGACGGCTAATTTCTTTCTGCTTCCGTGTTCTCTAAAAACCATAAACGATGGCATTGAGGTTAACTCGTCTGTTGAAAATGGTGGAGGTAATGTTCTTTTTTATTAGGGGTATACAAAGCAGACCGCCCAAATTGAGAACCGCCTAAACTGGACCGAACCGATCGGTTGGTCCGATTCCCGGTTCCTAAAAGTGGAACTGGTGTCCAGGCGATCCAGTTCCCAATTCCAAGAGAGAATCAGACTAAACCGGACCGACCGGACCGAACAGATTACATATACTTTTTTTTCTTCAAAAAAATTAGTAAAATGTGAATTAAACCCTAAGTGACCGGTTTCATTGGATCGGTCCTCCGGATCTAATTCCCGGTTCCACCTTTGAATAAGACCGGACCAGGAACCGATCAGCCCTATTTTTGACTGCATAGCTTTCTCGTTCTCTCACATATGATCCGAGCCATTTCACATTGATTTGATGTTTCACTTGATCCAAGATTACTAGGATGATATTTATTTACTACTCATGACTGTATGTTCTAGTTATACATGTAGTAGTGTATCACGATAACCAACAAAAATGACCGAAGGGGGGAACCATCTCCATGACCAAATGTAATGAAAAGGTTATTCTGCGTGGCAACATTGGAGCTGCTGCCCAGACATATGACATTGAACGATGATCCTTTCAATCACTTATATGTATAGTTAATTTTTCAAAAGATTATAATTTTCAGATGACACGTGATTTTGCTCATGGGTTTTTCCATTTTTACATGATTTTGCTCTCTCTCCCTTTATCAAATCATTTTTTCTCCATGTGAAATGTCTAGCACTCGTCCCTTTTTATCAACCTCTACTTCATGGTCTGAAATTCAGTGTCTTCAGTGGGCAAAACACCACCACACCAGACGATCCACCATCACGCACAGCCGCACACATCATCGTCAACCTGTCAAGCCGCCGCCACTGCTCGGCGGAGTTCACATCTCGCCATAAATGCCCTCTTGCTGGAGGAGCTACAGAGTCTCCTTAATAACTTTGAACTGCTAAAGCAAAAACCACAGGTATTGGGAAAAAGAGAGAAATAGGAAAACTATTTAAAACAAGGAAAAAGCATGTTGGTTCATAAACATAACCTTTCCTTTTGATAAGATATAACATGCTAAATTCTAATTTAGGAAAATACAAGATGCACAGCATAATTACCTATAAGGTGTAAGGAGTAATCTCTCTAGGAAAAATAAAAGGAGGTATAATACAATTCAACATATTCTATCTCTAACACAATCCAGTTAACACAAAAGGAAAATCAGTTGCCAAGGTTTTATACTGGCAAGGATCCGATAACTAAAGTGGCAATCCGCATTATATCTAGGCTTTTATAATATGATAAATACGGAAATATCATAATGTCTGTCTCATAAAGTAATTTGCATTACAAATCTCTGTACAAATGTGATTTGGAACGGCCTGATTGACGGCTCATCTCTAAACCTAGCTTCTTGGTATCTTCTGAGAATAGGAAATGCTAATCTGGCATGAGCATTCTCGGTAATTGCATGAGCATTCTCGGTAACTATGCCCAAGATTTAGCTTCTTTCGCACGCAATCTATATGGTTGGGATCAAGTTCATCCTCAAATCCTCAAATCTATAAAACTCACATGAGAGGGTGCTTCATCTCCATAACATTCAACAAGCTATCTTGCCCTCTGCCTCTCTCTCTCTTTTCCAACTTCTGTCTCCCGTAGCAGTCAATTGCAAGAAGCAGCTCATCCAGGTAAGGAAAAATCCAACTTATATTCAATGGTGCAAAAAGAGTTAGCAATCTTGCTTGTTGGATTGTATTCCTATTATGATTTTAGATCTTGTACAGATTGTGGTATCTTAACTTTCTGTTGATTATCACGCAGGCTAGGTATATGAGAAGGCCCTCATGATTTCAAAAAATTCATGACCACACTTGATTATCACTTAAACCCTAACTCATAGAACTCCCTTGTTGTGGTTAATAATGTATGTATTAGCCCATTTCGATAGGATGACTCTTGGAGAGACCCTAGAAATGATTTCTTTTGGGGCATCTTCATGATCTAAGCACTAGAAAATTGCCTGATACATAGGCAAGAGGCGGACCCTTCTGCTCGGCTGCCCATTGTTATGTGTGACCCGAAGATAATGAACATTCATATTGAACATCGTATAGATTTCATTCAATTCGTTTTTCCATCTGAGTTTACGTTTAGCCGGCTTGGTTACCGGAGTATGGTGGTCGGTGGATGCGCATGTCACTTCGCCAAGTGAGAATTGAATTGTTCTTGGGGTTGGATGAACATTCCAAATGGTAATTTTGTGAGAAGCGGTGGTCTTCTTAATTACATGATGATAATAACTCTAGAGATTTTTTGTATGACATTTTCCTCAATTATGAAGACTAGTTTCACCTCTTTAAGCAGTCATGCCTTGTGTGAAAGTTCCCACCTTTTTGTTAAAGTGCTATCCGATCCAAAAAATTGGATACAAAAATATATTTTTCCGTATTTATAATAGGGAAAAAGAAAAGGTGTACTAAATCTCTTAAGTCATCTTACATTTTTTATTGTTTGGATTTCTCAATCGATGAACTCTTTTTTTCATTGAACTTCGAAAAATTCCGTTATGATTTTTCTCTTTTTCTCAAACCGATCAACATAAAACTTTTAATTTTTCAGTGGACCCTTTATTTATTACCGCTAAGTAATTGCTCTTAAACAAAAAAAAAATTTGTGAATTCCACGTCCTTTTTGCTACTTAAGTATAGGACATGGATATTGGTAATCTTATTACTCAAGTCATTTAGTGAATATATGTGCTTTTTTGCTTATTAAACCAATAGTAACCCCAGTATTAAATCAGACTCGTATGATATTTTCTTGTATAAAATGTCTCTTATCCATGTGAGAATGGAGTGAATCTCATCAAAATTATCTAATTCTTGTCCTTCACACCACATGTGACACATAAACCATGCATTGTGATTGGCAACGTTCGTCAACCTCGAAAGACTCGGTTCTCGAATTAGAGTTTCATGTTCTGGTTTTGAGTCTCTATATGATTGCTTGTTTTGGGCCTGTAGTGGTTATTTCATTCCTATTCTATTTAGCATGGTCTCGTATCATTGCTTTTGTATTAGTTTAACTTTTGGGACATGCGACGACCATCTTCTGACATAATTCGGATTTCTTTCCCATACTCTTCCTTTCAATTTCCTTTTTGCATGCTCTGAAGTTCTCTTAGGGACATAAACTTCTGTGACCGCTTCATTTTTTTTCCTTTTAGCGTACTCGCGCTCTCTTTTCTTAACCTCATGATCTCACCTGAAGGTCAATGGCAAACTCCAACACCAGAAGAAACCCTCCAGCGGTTCCCTCATCAACAGGCGCCAATTCAATAGCCAAAGTCCAGTACCCAAAGGAACTCATCAGCTCGTACGGCGCAGCGTGCGAGTCCAACCCGGATTTGCGAACCTTCGATGCTAACCTCCAAGTGAGGACGAACCAAGTCCTCAGCACTCTTGCTTCCGGGGTTGATGTCCAAGCTCTCTCACTGGATTCTCTGAAAGAGATAACGGAGTGCCTCTTGGAGATGAACCAGGAAGTGGTCAAGGTCATCTTGGATAGCAAGAAAGACATCTGGAGAAATCAAGAGCTGTTCGAGCTTGTTGAGTGCTACTTCAAGGATAGCTTGCACACCCTCGGTTTCTGTGCTGCCCTTGAGAATTGCTTGAAGCCTGCGCGCGATGCCCATTTGCTGTTTATCGCTTCGCTTCATTGCTTCAAAGAAGAAGATGGGGAGGGGTGTTGCAGGTACATGTATCTCACTTCTCAAGGAACTTCATTTCGAGCACACGCATCCTAGTATATTGGTTCTTGCTGGCCACTATTTTCATTTATTGGCTAAGTCATTCAATCTCCACTAATTTCTCTATGCATTTGCATTCAACTTCATATCTAACGTGCCAATGAGATAGAGTTGATTTCTAGAGTTTGATAGCCTAACATTATAAGGTTTAAGTTGGTGAGGAATATGCATGCATTTTCTGTTTCACGAGGAACTGATGCAGAGACCTTGGATAAATTTAGTTACTCAAAGATCTTGGAGGAACTGACAAAATTCAAGGAGACCAGAGACCCTTTCCCCAAAGAGTTCTTCGTGATCTTTCAGACGATTCACAAGCAACAGAAGTCCATGCTCAAGAAGTTGCGGATCAAGAAAAATGAGATTGAGAAGAAGCTCAAGACCATACAGACGTGGAAGAAAATCTCAACCATGATACTGGTTGCAATTTTCGCAGCCATTCTGATCTGGTCGGTCATGACTCCAGCTGTGGCTGCTACTCCAGTCACTGCCGCCCTAGCGGCTGCAACCGCCATTCCCATGGATGCCATTGGCAAGTGGATTGACTCCCTTTGGAAGATTTATGAAAATGAACTGAAGGGATGGGAGGAGGTGATCACCTCAATGCAAGTGAGTACTACAAACCTTTTTCCTCCCTTTCTGTAATTACAGTGACGATCCCCGTAATTTCGTCAAACCAAGTCAACATCCATACTTTTCCCTAGAAGTCCTCGCAATTAACATAATGAACATCGCGAGGCTGGCTTGATTTTTATGTAGCTATAACGATGCGAACAATGTCTATGATTCCAAAATGCAAGAAACTCTGCAAGAGAAGTCATCATGATTTACATGAATAATTTCTTACAACTAAAAGCTCTGCAGACCGGTACCTTTGTTGCTCTCAAGCTCCTTAACAAAATCAGAAGCATGGTTGACCCTTTGGAGGTACAGACCAAGAGGCTTTTGCAGAAAGCTGATTTTCCGATTGAGGAGGGAGCAGAAGCAGTAAAGCTCGGAATAGCAGACATCAAGAAAAAGCTGAGAGATTTCGTGAAGGCGGTTGAAGGACTGGGAAAACATGTCGACATGTGCAGCCACAATATCCAGAAATCAAGGATAGAGGTGCTTCAGAGGATTATAAAGCCCCCCACCAATTGCAACGGTGCCCCTATATTGCTATAGAGAATTGTTGCTAAGTGTTTGTCTTCCTGTGAGGGATGTGCAGTGGACCTCCATTTGCATTGCCTTCTCTCATCAATAAAGTGGAAGACATCAACATTTGGCATTCGATTTGTTGAATAATTATAATTAAATGCAGCTTTTCGACATAAAGGCCTTATCAGCTTTGGACAGGAACTCTTCAATCCCTAATTGAATAAGCCCTTGTTTTAGTTGCTCTTATGTACAGTTCCATATGGTGATTAAACAAGTTCAGACGACTGACACAAAATTGACCTGTAATATGGACATAGTAAGGTTCAGGTTCTTCCCAAAAGCAGAAGTTAGTAGCTAGGACAGAATAGTTAAATTTTTGCTGAATTGTGTTTAGAGCTCATTATGCTCGTGAGAAATGTCTGTACCAGTCTGGCAAAAGATGAAAGCTGCAAATGAAAGACCAGACAGCAGTAGCTCAGCAAAACAAGAATATCTATAGAACGAAAACGTATCCTACCAATGTTCCTCATTCGTAAAAGATTTCTCCTCAATAGAACTATTTGGTAAATCCAGACATCTAAAGACAAATTTCATGTTGACAAGAAATAATGGAGGAAGAAATTGCAGATGCTGAATTAGTCCTGATCAATGCTTGGCAAAATAAACAGAGTGATTGCCTCTAATGCAAATCTTATTGTGTTGAGAGTACGTTCCAAGTTGCTTTCCAAGCAACAAAAAATAAACACATAAATAGTCGGTGCTTTCACTGTCCAACTCTCCAAGGAAACTCCTCTCTGGCTTCATCAAATTTCTATACTAACAAACTGCAATGAAATTTTACAGAAGAAGTTCCATGTTCACAACTATGCCAACGCAAAGAATCAGCAGAATTGAGAGAAATCTTTGAATTATACAGCAAATCAGAAAACACTAGCAAAAGTTTTGAGTTCCAGGTCATGGGCTCGTCTCGAAAATTCAACTTCCAAAGTGATTCTCCTATCAATGGACCGGTAATTCAAACACAAGGACCTCCTTGTTCCCAGGAACAGTAAAAGGTCCAGGAAACGATCTCTGAGAGGTGGATACCTACACCAAGTGTCAAACCGAAACCGTGTCCATTTTCCCTTTCCCACTTTTGGAGATGTTTGAAGAAGAAACTCACTTCAGTTGTCTCTAATCCACCTTGAGACACTGATACCGTGAGTTGCTCTTCTATTTCTAGAAATTCAACCTATTTCTCCAAAGCAACCCGTTATTTGTCGCTAATACAGATGTCTTTTTCCGTGGGAACTTCTTGAATTCTATCCCCAACTTATGGAATTTCTGGGGATAAGTCCAATGTAGTCTTGTTTAATTTTTTACTTGCTTATAGATTCGGACTATTTTTAATAGAGAATATGGATATGAATTTCAAAGATGAGGATATGTGATCATAAAAGCAGGATATTTGTTAGGTAACCATGCGGAGATTTTGAAATTTAGTCATTAATATAATATAATGTTTTACTTATCCTATATTGAAATGAGATAATGTTGTTTTACTTATTCTAAAAAAACTGGGTAATAAAGGAAAAAAATCCATATAACCATGAAAAATCTGTTGTACTAAAGAAATCCACCGGGTTTACCAGCATTTAATTGCCACAATCAGTGAGAAGACAACCAAGTTTTCTCTTTCCATCTGAGTTATTCAGCAGGGAAAGATTACTGTGCTTGCCTATAGTTAACCAGTATCCACCTTGTTAATACCACATAGTCTACAAGATATTGCATGTTCAAATCTTGAGTGGAAGTTGAAGTCATGGATCTAACTCCTTTTTCTTCAGCCTAAATGTATGATTGTTTCGGAAATGCTGTCTGATGGAAGATACCATTGAAATTATGTAACCTGTACGGCTTGTCATCTTTGAACTTCCATAATCTTTTGATGGATTTAACAGGTAAGAGCCATTTAGTTCTTCTTTAAAGCATATCGTAAAGAACATAAATTGGAATTTCCATTGAAAGATGCAGAGGTAGTGGTTGTTGACAGCTTTGAGGGTGCGTAAAACATGCCAATTACGCGGTGAAAATGAAATTCATTTCTTGCTAAGCCTTGTGATTGGACATTGAACCCCAGTTATCTTGGTTCATCTGTCGACTCCATGATCATATTGTTCTTGTTCTCTGCTTCGCAATCCACAAGACTAGGACAGCTTTATGAAGCCACTGCCTTTAAAGTGAAACTGAATAGGCAGCATTCACCTGGTTTACTGGGTCAATAGCACTGAGCTCAAGGACAAATGAATAGTCTTTTGCTTGCAAATCCATGGGCAGGATATGTGATGGTAGAACACACTAATTTGGATTCATGGATTGTCAGTACAAAGCTCACAACATTTGCCTCCAGACATGTTTTTCTGTAAATATCCCATGGACAAACAATGCATGTGAAGATACACTGCAAAAAAATAATTTGTACAACTGAACTGTTAATTCTCACCAAAAATCCCTGCAAGAGCACCCACCAGCTATGAAATGGTGAAGCCTGTTATTGTCCCCCACTACAATTTCCCTATCAAAAGTTCGAGAAACCATTTTCGAAAACTCATGACAATCCCAGCAGATCCTAAGGTTTTTAACAATTCTTATAGGAACGTCTTCGTTCAATCAGATCAAACCAAATGCAGCGGCAATCTCCTCACTGTTTAGAGACAGAGCATTCTCTTTCTCTTCTTCTTCTATATCGAACAAAACCGGGTTCGTGTTAGCCATGTACCCTTATAATCTCAGCCCCCTGAAGATCTCGCCCAGCATCACTTAAATTTCGCTATACATTTGGTGGGAGTTATCTCCAACAAAAAAACTCATGAACTTCACCATCAACTTCTACAACACTGCAGCCTGGAAGCTTCTTCTCGCCTCTGAACTTCATTACCTACCGCATAAGGCTTACACTTTCCCAGTTTTTGTTATCAGTGTAAATATTGGACCAAAGCATGTAAACACCATGACTCTTTGCTTCGAGCTCCACTGTCTTTCTTGAGGCAAGCTCGCCTATTTCCCTATTCTTGTGAATTTTACATGCATTTTGTAAAGCTCCCCAAGCACCGGCATGAGGCTCCACCAGCATGTCATTGATGAAATTTAACACTTCATTTAAACGGCCAGCTTGGCCATACAAATCAACCATGTAGATATAATGCTCAAGTTCAGGCTGGATTCCATACGACTCAGTCATTGAGGCAAGCCCTTTCTCGACTAGTTAAACTACACTGCAGCCTCTCAATACCGATACAAGTGTGACTTCATTTGGGAGATCCCTGTCTTTCTTCATGGGCGAGAAAAGCTCGAGATATTCCCTACCAGCTCCATTTATGTCTAGTCCATTCATGGCACTACGCCATGTGTACGTGTTCCTTTCCTTCATCCCCCAGAAAACCTCCGTGGCCTTATCCATGTCACCGCATTTGGCATACATATCAATAAAGCGGTCCCTAGCATCAACATCATCCGAAGGCTGTTCCTTTCAATATATGCATGAGCCCACCTCCCTTGATCCAGTGCACCTAATTGAGTGCATACAGATAGAACTGGAACCATAGAAGGCTGATTGACCTTCACACCTTCCAGTTGCATCTCATGGAACAAATTCAAGGCACACCTCAACTCCCTAAAAAACATCCACGCATTTTGTCAACATTGCCATACTTGGCGCAAAAGTGCTCGCTCAGCATCAGCGTTTGACACACCACGTCATGATCAAGAATCCCTCCAAACACCCTATGACACGATTCTAAACTACCCATCTCCACATACATTAATCAACGCACTCTGAACATGCGGGTCAATTTCAAACCCGTGTCTTGATGGTTGGATAAAAAACTTGATGCTGGTTTGATTATTGCTTTGCTGTGCGTCTAAACTTAATATTCCAATTTGGTTTTTTGTCACCCAAAACCTACCACAAAATTAAGGAGGAACGTCTGTGAAAATTAAAAAAACTGGATGAAGTTTCCATTAAATTTGTCTTCTTTAATTTCCTGCTTCTAGCCAATAACCAATGATAATAATATTAGGATTCGAAATGTCAATTATGCATGCCTTTCGTATCTTTTATTCGTTTCCTGTTTCTTTTCCTGAAATATTACCTTTGTATGGAAACTTTTACCATTGTATGGGAACTCAACTTAGAGATCACTTGTGTATCTTTGGTAAACCAATAACATCTTCCTTAGTTGCATTCCCTTGTCTTCATTAGGCTTCTCCTCTTTAGTGCTATTTCTATATGTATGCTTAATTCTTTCAATCAACAATTTATGATTATCTGAGTTCTTTTTATCCTATTTGCATTCCTTAAACAGCAGTCATGAAGTCCTTTGATGGAGCTTTAGACTTGTGGGAGCAACAAAACTGGAAAACCCAATCTCTCAATCGATCTTGCGGTCCATTTTCAAACTGAGATCATCAATTCTGACGCAATCCAAGTGTACAAGGGGCTCAATGTTGTCACCAACAAGGTTACCGAGCTCGAGCGTCAATCGAGCGTCAAGGAGTGCCACACCACCTCCTAGGAGTGATCGATGTCCTAATGTTGACTTTCGACGCATCACGTTTGTAGTCATGCGATGACCGCCTTCAAGCAAATAACGGACTGCGCGTGCGCTGCAATCATTGGTGGAGGATCGAACTCCTTTATTGAGGCGCTCGTGGAGGGCCCAACATCTAATTTCAGGTCCATTTATGATTGTTGTTTCCTTTGGTTGGATGTGTCGCTCCCTATCTTGAATGAGTGCATGTCGAAATGGGTGGACGAGATGGTTGATGCAGACCTAATAGATGGGTGCGAGGTATGTTGCCTCGCAAATTGACTGCTCAGGTGGCATTCGCCGTGCGATTGGGGTCCCAGAAATGAACCATTACCTGCGATTCGAGAATTGTATGATTGATGACGAGAAACCAAATGAGGGTTTGCTCGATGTCGCCATCAACAAGATCAAGGTAACTTGCAGGTTAGCTTTTTGCCAAGCGGAGAAGATCTGGAGGCTTAGTGAAGACCGTGGGTAGAACATGCATCGCATCGATGCGACTAAGGTTTTCAAGAGTCGAGGTAAAGATGTTGAGAAGGGATGGGAGAGTTTGGTGTTGGAGCCAAGCTTGGCAATTGTAGGAGATTTCCTCAAGGATCATGAGAAAGCATTTAGTACGCCGAAGCAACTTGCCGCGACCTTGCCTCGAGTCCGCATGGAAATGCGGGGAACTAACTAACCAGAGAGTGATAAAATATTCTCATGATCACAGATATGATAAAACTGTTGTAAATTTTTTTTATTCTAACGAGAACGGATTTGTCCATCAAAATACTATCTCCCTATTTTCCAACTTTGATCCATATTTAAAGCCAATGTATCTTAGAATGTGTCGTGACCGACCTCCGGTTTTTGATGATAAAAGAAGGGGGTCTGACCTAGTACGTGCTAAGTCTAAGTTCGGAGCTTAACTCGGGCTCTCTCAAGCCCATACCATATCGCGACTTAGGGTTTAGGTTTTTAACCTGCAAGTGGTTTTTATCTAGGAGTCGCCACTAATCAGTTTGGGGTGGGCCAATTAGAAACCCAAGTAAGGTAATGGGAGAATCACTCTACTCCCACGAACTAGAGATTAAATGAGTTTGGGGACTTGGTTACACTAGTTGAATGACTAGTGCCCTTTCGGTACATTTTTATCCTGTTCATTTGAGAAAATATTTGTCAAACAGTTTGAATTGATTTTAGGACCTTTTTCCTAACATGTGAGGTGATCAAACGATTGCTCACTTATTAACAATTAGCAGTCAACTAGATATGCAGCCTAAGGTTCTAGCCCTAACTAAGGCAATGACATTCAAAGTACAACAGTTTATGCAATTATATCTCAATTAAAAACAATGTGCATAATAAAACAACAGTAGTAGAGACAACATACGAAATCCTACTACATAGTCCTATAGGCCTATCCAACTTTAAACATGATTGATAATCAAATAATCCACATAGTTTAGAAAAATATTCAAAAATACTACTTTCTAAACTGTTTCTTAATTTTAAAGGAAATTAAAAAAACGATTTTTTAATATATTTTTTAGAAATAATAATAATAATGAACACGATTTAAACAAAAAAAATATTTTTTAATTTTTTTAATTACAATTTTTTAAAAAAATTATTAATTAAAAATATTAAAATAATAATATAATAATAAACCGGGTCGGGTCGGAGGACCTGGGTCGATCAGAACCGACCCAGGTCAATGGATCTGACCCAAAGTCGTTGACCGGGTCGAATCTACTGATCCGGACCGGGTCAAGAGTTAACTCGGGTCAAGTCGGTTCTCGCGTGCTTTTGCACGACCTAGGTCATGAATTGGGTCAGGTCGGTTCCCATGTGCTTTTGCACGCGGGGATGCCGGTCGAGCGAAAATCGGCTCCTCGCCGGCCAACCCATGCGGCTCAGGCCTAAATCCAGCCTCTGGGGACCACCACCGAGCTTTCCGGCCATCCCACTCGCCGTCCGACAACCTGCTCGCCGGCCGGCGATCAAAAATAGCTCGACCTCACTGAGGCATTTCATCGAATACCTAGTGTGCGAGGCTAAAACAGATGGTTTTTGACCTACCTCGAGACTCCGGTGTACTTCGGCGGCTTGGCTTACCTTTGGTGATGATATATGGGCTACGGGGAATGACGGTATGGGTCGGGATTCGCGCGAAATGGCCAGCGCGAGTCCCAGACAAACCATGTTCACAAATAGGGGAAAATAGGGGGGTTGTGAACTTGGAGAGCTCACCAGTCGGAGACGCCTCCGAGGTAGGTTTCTAGCTGATCCACGGGCAATAGCGGGGTTGCTGATGTCCCTTGGCGACCTTTAAAATCTCTCAGCTCGCTCTTTTCTCTCGGTTCTCTCTTCTCTTCTCTTTTCTCTCACTATGCTTTGTTTTTGGACCGCCCCTCTCTCTCTCTCTTCTTTGGCCTTTATAGGCGACACCGGCCACCTACCCCATCTCAGAAGTCGCAGCCTTAATGGCCCTGCGCTGACCATAACCTGAGCCACGACTTTGGTGGCCATCCTAGGCCGGTGCAAGGAGGGAAAAATCCTGCACCTCTGCTTGACTTCCACGGCCACCATGAGAGGAAGAGGAAGAGGAGAGGAGGAGAGACCGAAAAAGGGGGAGGGATGGGACTGGCCATCAATGCCCGTCCCCTGCTGCTCCTTACCTACCCGAGACTTTGTTTGACGGGGACGGTGAGGGCCGCTCTACTGTTCGGCCGGTGAATAGCCAGATGTAGGGGAAAACAGAGGTAAGTGGGAGGAAGGAAGGAGGCCAGGGCCGGCGGGGAGGAGAAGGAAGGAGCAAGCTGGGTCAGGCCAGCTCGCGTGAGAGGAAAAGAAAAGAGGGGAAGCGGGCCGGGCCCGCGCGAGGAAAAAAAGAAAGGGCCGGGTGGACCCAGCCCCAACCCGGGCCAACTAGGGTTTTTATAATTAATTTTTTTTAAAATTTTTTTGAAAGTTAATTAAGAAAATAGGCCCTATTAATGCAAATGTGCCTAATGTCTATATGCAATGCAATTAGATAAAAAAATATTTTTTTTGTTTTAGGAACTAAAAATTAATTCCTAAATTTTGCATAATTAATTTTGGGTAAATTCATAAAAATAGGTGTCAACATAATGTATCACCAGCATCGGATAATCTATTTAAGAAACATTCTTATTGAACAATAGAAGTGAGTTTAATGAAGGTTTTAGAGTAATCTATCTCGCAGCAATGCAATATTTCAATATAGGATGCTAAATTCTAATTTTAGAAAATACAAAATGCAAAGCATAACTATTTAGAAGATGTAAAGAGTAATATCTCGAGGAAAAATAATAGGAGGAGTACAAGTCGACATTTTCTATCTTTTTACACATTTCAATTTACACAGAAGGAAAGATCGGTTGTCAAGGTTTTATATCAGCAAGTGTCCAATAACTAAACATGTGTTTTGCACAATATCTAGGTTTTTGTCATCCGGTAAATATGGCAGTATCATAATGTGAGCTTGACCCAATAATCTATATTACAGAAATCTATACAAATGTGATACGGAATTGTTCGTGCAAAACGAGACCAATGTCAACATATCATCTCTAAACCTAGTTTCTCGGAATCTTCTCGAGAATGAGAAACGCTAATATGGAATGAGCATTATGGGTAACTATGCCCAAAATCTTAAAAGCTTTCTCTGGACGCCTTCTATGTCATCTCTATCAAGTTTATCCTCCAATTGAAAGAATATAAATCCACACGAGAGGGCGCTTCATCTTCATCACATTCAACAAAGCCATCTTGCCCTCTCTCTCTCTTCTAACTTCTGTATCGCAGAGCAGTCGATTGCAAGAAACAGACCATTTAGGTAAAGAAAATCTAATTTATATTCAATTGTGCAAGAAGAGTTAGCTATCTTGCTTGTTGGATTGTATTCCTGTTATGGTTTTAGATCTTATGCAGATTGTGGTATCTCAATTTTGGCTGATTATCATGCAGGGCTAGTCAAATGAGAAGGCCCTCGTGAATTTGAAGAAACCATGACCATGCTTGATTATGAGATATACCCTGACTCATAGAACTATCTTGTTGAGCTTTAAAACGAATGTATCGATAGGATGAATCACAGAATAACCCTAGAAATGATTCCTGTTGGGGCATCTTCATGATCTAAGCACAGGAAAATCACCCAATACCTAGGCAATAGGCGGATCGTTACGCTCAGCCGCTCTTTTACGTAATGACCCGATGATAATGATCATACCTGTGAACATCATATAGAAGTGTCATTCCATTCGTTGTTTCATCAGAATTTGTGTTTAGCCGGCTTGATTACCAACGTGCTGTTGTCGGTGGATGCGCATGTCAATTTGCGAAGTGCTAATTGAATTCTTCTTAGGCTTGGACGAACATTGCAAGTGGAGTTTTTGTGAGAAATCGCATCATTTCTTATCTTCTTAATTGCCTGCTCATAATAACTTTGGGTTGTTTTTGTTTTACATTTTCCCTAATGATGAAGATTAGATTCATCTCGTCTTGGCAGCCATGTCTTGTGTGAAATATTCCAACCATTTTGTTAAAATGCTATCCAATCCAAAAACATTCAATAGGAAATTATATTTATCGTATTTTTCAAATAAAAAAATGTGTACCAGATCTCTTAAGTTGTCTTATGTTTTCTAATTTCTAGATTTCTCAGTCCTTGAACTCTTTTATTCATTGAACTTCAAAAAATTCCTTTATGATTTAACTTTTTTTCTCAAAACAAACATGATTAAATTTCTAGTTTTTCAGTGGAGTCTTTAGTTTATACCCCTCAGTAATTGCTCCTAAACCGGAAAAAAAAAGCTTAAATATAGAACATGGATATTAGTAATTACTCTAGTAATTTATCATACTCGTTCTATATTCCAAATCTATTTAACATGGTGTCTAATCATTGCTCTATTAATAATTTGTACTTTTGGGACATGCGACGACCATCTTCTAACATAACTCGGAATTCCTTTCCATTCTCTTCCTTTCATTTTCAATTTTACATGCTCTAACATTCTCTAGGGGACATATACTTCTGTTACTGTTTCATTATATTCCTTTTAGTGTACTCTTCCTCTTTTTTGTTAACCTCATGATCTCACCTGAAGGTCAATGGGAGATACCAACACCAGAAGAAACCTTCCGGAGCTGTTCGAGCTTGTCGGGGACGACCTACCGAATGGCTTGCACACCCCTGATTTCTGTGTCACCCTTGAGAATTGCTTGAAGTATGTGCGCGATGTCCAATTGCTGATTTTCGATGTGCTTCATTGCTTCGAAGAAGAAGACAAGAAAGGAGACTGCAGGTATATATGTATCTTAGTTCCCAAGGAACTTCATCAATAGCACATACATCTAAGTATATTTGGTTATTGAGCTACTATTGCCAATGCTAAGGCATTCAATCTCTCCTATTTTCTCTATGCATGGACCATTGACTTCATATCCTAACATGCCAATGAGATTGAGTTGATTTCTAGAGTATGATATCCTAACAATACAAGGTTAAGTTGGTGAGAAATACACATGTTCTGTTTAGAGATAAACTGATGCAGAAACCTTGGAAAAATTTAGGTACTGAGACACCTTGGAGTAATTGACGAAATTCAGGGAGACTAGAGACCCCTTGACTGAGTTCTTCGAGATCTTTCAGATTATCCACAAGCAACAAAAGTCCATGCTCGAGAAGTTGCAGATCAAGAAGGAGGAGATTGACGAGAAGCTCAAGAGCATACGCACTTGGGCGATTGTCTCAAACATTATACTGATTGCGACTTTCCAAGCCATGCTGATCTATTCGGTCGTGACTGCTGCAGTGGTTGCTCCACCATTCACTGCCGCTTTAGTGGCAGCAGTTGCCTTTCCCATGGATTCGGTGGGCAAGTGGATCGATTCCCTCTGGAAGAATTATGAAGATATATTAGAGGGAGAGGAGGAGGTGATCAACTCAATGCAAGTGAGTACTACTAACCTTTTTTCTCCCTTATTACAGTGACCATTTCCACCATTTCGTCAAACCAAGTTAACATCCCTGTTAAGTTCGAAACAATAGTTTCCCCTAGAAGTTTTCACGTCTAACATAATGAACATTGTGAGTGTCACGCCCTGTACCCTACGAAGCGCTAACATCCCTACCTTGGTTGATTGCAGTGCGACGTCCCAGGAAGCGTCGCCAACCCAACGCCCAACAGAGAACAAGCACAAGCGGAAGCAATTAAATAAACAACCCTGACAATTATAAAATACGAGCCAAGGATAGCCAAGCAATAAACACGATCACAGCAGAAAATAGGTACATACTTACATTACTATAGAAAACCTTTTTACAATACCCATCAAACACAAAAGCGAGCAGTATAAACAGTCAACAGCCACTGGGTCAAAAGGGTAAGTGGCTAGGGTGCTCTTAGGGATTCCAGTCAGGATCTGAGGATTCCGAGGATTCATCCGACTGCTCCTCTGACTCCATATCTACTGCTCCGTCTCCACAGGGGTGCATGCTCAACGATCGCTGAATGCGATGCGGTATCCCAGAAAGAGGTGGTGACCTCGGCATTCTACGGCTGGGGGTCTGAAATGTTTCGGTTTACACAACCGTGAGACGAATCTCAGTGAGTTCAACCCCTAAACCTAGGCTAGGCTAGCATGCAATCTCCTGACCGGAAACAAATATTTAAATCACAATACAATAATAATCAAACCATTCTCTGACCCTGCAGGTTAGACAGATCAACATATAATAGTCATGGCACATACGTGGCACACATTATCACACGTACGCCAATCACATGCTCATGCACCGAGTCTCACACACTCGCATGCCAGTCCATGCATGTTCATGCATGCAAATGTCGTTGACAGGTCACGTACATTTCCCGGCCCACTGGCCCACACTGGCAATTGCCCAATTTATTATTTATTACGACAACTCGAGTCAACAACATTCACGGCCCGGTGCGTCTAGCCTGCTTCAAAGTGCATGAGGCGCAACAACCAATCTGGCCCAGTGTCTCTAGCCTGCTTCAAAGTGCATGAGGCGCAACACTGATCTCTTTACGAATCAGAGCCTGCTTCAAAGTGCATGAGGATGGTCGTCTTCCGGACGTACCGGGTATCGTCCTGCTTCAAAATGCATGAGAACGATATCGACCTGAAGGTCATGACCCAAAGGTCCTTAGGTGATCACACAACCAATTATTATCTGAACCCAGCGTAAAACGCTTTAGGGTATTTTAGGTGATCACATGCTCATGGCAGGCACGCATTCTCGCACAATTTCATCACATGCCTCACTCTTGACATACACAATGCGTGTCCATATGATACAATGCAATGCACCACCAGCGCCAATATAATTCAAACACTTAATATGACAACACGTGCTCAATTGACCCAATTAATACCATGTGGCCTAACGTGCGAATCACAAATCAACAATTAATTTCAAACCAATCATTGGCCAATCGCACTCCACATAATTCAACCACACGACATGTGACATGGCAGTACGAAGTCAATCACAATTAAGCACAAATTACGTACAACCAGTCAACCCGGACGTACCCGGTAATTTTCCAATGGGCTCCTAAATTGGTCATTTAATCCAATTAATCTCTCCAAATAATTCTCATTAATCCACTAAATTTTCCCAATAATAATTTCTACCAATCAGTCCTCATCCCAGTCTGAAATATACACCGATACTACCTAAGCCAGTCCAAAATGCACTGATAATACCTAAACCAGTTCAGAAAAACGCACTATCAGTCCTAATCCGGGTTTAGGAATTTTACTCACTTAATCCAAGGTCACGACGACGGGGAACGGCAGCCGATCACTGGTGAACAGTGAAACCGACGGCGGAATTCCCGGCGACGGCGTACGGACGGCGTGAACAGTACCCCCCCCCCTACGGACACTGTACGGACAGGGGGAAAACGGTGGCCGGCGAGGTGGCGGTGGCCGACGCGACGGCCGTACGGAGGCGCGACCGTACGATGCTACAGTACCGATCGTACGGGGGGGCACTGTACGGGCAGGTACGGTCGGCGTCGTACAGTGTGGCTGGATGGCTGGGTGGCGACGGAACGGCGATCCGAGCTCCAGCGAAGCTTCGGCGGCTCTATTTGCCGGACGGGAAAGAGAGAAAAAGAGGAAGAAAGAGAGAGAAATAGAGAGAGAAAGGGGCCGGACAGGGGCAAGGCTGAGGCTGGGGGCTGTGGTGGTCGATGGCAAGGCACGGTGGCCGGCGGCGGCGCTCTGGCGGTGAGTTCCGGCAAGGCTTGGCCGAGAGAGAACAAGAGAGGGAGAGAGATTTCGGGAGAGGGGGCTGCTGGTGGAGCTGCTGGCCGAAGGAAAATGAGGGAGAAGAGAGAGAGGGGGGTCAGCTGGTCAATAAAGTGGCCTAGGGGCGACACGTGTCGCCGATCCGGCGGTTTTGACCAAAATACCCCTAATCTAACGGTCTCGGTTGATCCTATCCAAATAATTGAGGTGCAAAAAGGTCTTTAGCCCCAATAATGCAGCTGATAATACTCTTATTTATCCCAATTAATTCCCCAAAAATTCGGACCCGAAAATAGCCCAGGCGCAAAACTGTCATTTTTCCGGTCCCAGGGCGAAATTTCAATTTTCGCACGTATCAACCCCAGATGTCCGTGGCCAAAATAATATGGCATCGGAATCGCGAAAATAACCTCTTAAGCCCTTGAAAATTGACTGCGAAGTTCCGGGAATAAAATAATATTATTTTTCCAATTTTTGTCGAAATTCCAATTTTTGACCATAACGACTCCTGGTATGCGTGGCCACCCAAAAATGGCGTCGGCCTCGAAAAATAACCTCATTTGGCCTTGAAAAGCAACGCTGGCGTCCCGATGGGCAAAATCGTAATTTTTCATCCCCGGACTGAAATTCCAATTTTTAACCATACTAACTCAAAATATGCGTGGCCAGCATAATATGACGTCAGATTCCCAAAAATAGTCTCTTAAGCCATCAAAAATCAACATCGAAATCCGGGCCCAATTTCGTGATCAAAACTCGCTCAATTTCCAATTTCAGGGTCTCTCACTAACGGGCGGCTGTTTAGAGGTTACGCATATCGACCTGGGGTTATCCGAGTCATAACGGTCCGATCAATGAGAGAATGAGAAATTATCACTAGTCCCAGAAGTCACGATCGTCCGGTTTAAGTTCAGGACTGGTTGGTCACGTGCACTCTCGGTCATGCAGAATCACCTGCGATCCGATTGTACATCGTTGGCCTTGGCCAAACCAAATCCGTCACCTTTCCTAAGATCGATCCACATTGGTTCATAATATTTTTTCATCATTTCATATGATCGGTGTCCGCTTCGCGATCGGGTCCTTAGTCCACGTACCGTTTCCTAATTAGCCATATCCTATTGGTTAGTATCCCGAGAGTGATCAGCTCTGGGCGAGACTTACTAAAATGAAATGCGAAATAATGTCAATTTTATTGATCCCGGAATTACATCGAAATTCGGGCTGTTACAGTGACGCTGGGTTCATTTTTATGTAGCTGTAAGGATGGGAACAATGTCTTGGAGTCCAAAATGCAATAAACTCTGCAACAGAAGTCACCATGATTTACATGAATAAATTCTTACAACTAAAAGCTCTACAGGCCGGTACCTTATAAATTCTTATAACTAAAAGCTCTACAGGCCGGTACCTTGGTTACTTTCCAGGTCCTGGACACAATCAGAGTTCTTATTGACCGTTTGGAGGTACAGATCAAGAGCCTCTTGCAGATAGCTGATTTTGCGATTGAGGGGGGACCAGAGGCAGTGAAGCTTGGAATAGAAGACATCAGGAAGAAGCTGAGAGATTTCGTGAAGGATGTCGAAGAACTGGAAAAGCAAGCCGACAAGTGCTTCAGAGGATTATGAAGCCCCCCACCAATTGAAATGGTGCCCCTATAGTGCCATAGAGAACTGTTGCTAAGGGTTTGTTTCGTTGTGAAGGATGTTATGTGAACCTCAATTGCATTGCCTTCTTAGTTCAATAAAGTGGAAGACATCAACATTTGGCATTTGATTTGTTAATTATCAAAAATTAGTGCAGCTTTTTGACACAAAGGCCTTTATCATCTTCCTGCTTTGGATAGGAATTCTTCGATCCCGAGTTGATGCCAAGGGAAGGTATGATCTTATTACATTTGCTTTGCTAAGAGATGCTCGAGAAAGATTCATCAAAGCTGGACATGAAATGAGGTTGGCACATGCATGTAATTGATATGGGTGAGCACTAGAACTAGATCGACCCGAGAACCGAAGCAGTCGGTTCCGGGCAGTTCTCGAGGGAACCGGTCCGGTTCCAGGTTCCTAATTTCCTCGTCTGATTATCGGTTCCTAAAATTTAGAATCAATGAAAACCCGTCCAGTTTTAGTGTGGATCCACCCACTTGGACCACCTGGACCGGACTGATTATTCTATTTTTCTTTTTTAAAATTCTTATTATTAAAACACATTTCTTAAAAAACTAATGCAGCGTTGATTTTCTTTCTTTTTGTTTTTGTGGAGCAGTAATTTCACCCTTTTAAGGAACAAATTATTTGAAATTTGGCTAATTCGAAGTGGAACTCTGTAGCCTTCCTGTTTTTTGCCTGCTCATCCAAAGTGTACGAGAACGTGATGGAGATCGAGCTAATTGGCGAAGATGGAGTTGACAGACTACGATGGTCATGCTAGCACCAACAGATGGGAGTAGTGACCGATGGGAAATCGCATTGTTTCCAAACCATCACTTTCACAATAAAAGGCATTAAAATTCTGCAAAAGGGTTTAACAATGGGAAGGTCAAGCCTCTAATCAAAGCCTCTTTTTTGTCAGAACGGCCTTGATCAAAGCTTCGTATAGTAGCAAACTGCATGTATGGTTACGATCACGAAAGTGCATTGAGAAGATTTTTCGAGATTTTCGTTAATCAAAATTCATAAGCACAATGATGCTTTAGGTTCCCATCAATTAATTTCTTTTCTTATCATATTATCCCTTTTCTTCTTTATTCTCCTATGGATCCTGTGGTCCTTAAAACGGTTCAATTCTTTTCACACTTGTTTTTGCTGGAAAAAAAAGGGGAGTTACACCGACAGTTCCTAGATCCACTCGAGAACCAAACCAGTCTAATTTGATTTCAAGATCAAGTGGGCTGATTTCCAATTCTAGGATGGGAACCAGCCTACCCTGGAACCAATTTTCCCTAATAATTGATATGTACTATGGGGTCTTTCTGTGATTATATTTTTATTTATACCCTGCCTCTAATTAATTAATATTATTTATATATATCAAACAACCATAGTTAAGGTCAAGCCACCATAAACACTCAATCTCCACTCTCTTTGTGACTTTAAATATCGACATAGTATCGGAACCGGAAAAAGCATCAAATTCCTCAACATCTCTTCCCCAAATCCACACTTTTTTTGCTCCTTTTTGTATTTCCGATTCGTCCCCAGTTTTTCTTCTTTTCTATTATCTCTTTATCCATCATTTTCTATTTCCATTAATCCCAATTTCTCATTACCTCTCCCCCCAACATTCCCAATAGCACAAGTCTTGTCTCCATCAATCTTGATGTAAACAACTATCTTTTGTGAAAAGCTTTGTTTGAACCTATTCTATTTTGTAATGATCTACTGGACCATATGGATGGGTCTTTTGCATATCAATCAAAGCTTGTTCTTAATGAAAATGGGACTATGGTGGTCGATCCCTCCTATTTCACTTGGGTCAAGAAAGATAAGTGCCTCCGTAATTTAATCAATCCGACCTTCAAAGTTGAGATTTTCATGAAGTTCTCAACCTTCGGACATTTCGAGAGGTTTGGCTCGCTCCTAGAAGACGCTTTACCGATCGCTGCACGGCCAAGTTAATTGGACTGAAACTTGATTTTAGAATGCCATCAAGAAACCCAATCAGCCCATGTTTGACTATCTTTGAAATTTAAAGCCAATTGCAAACTTTGACGCTACAAACAATTACTCCGTCTTCAACAAGGACTTAAAAGATTCAAGCCCTCAGTGGGATCCCCATCTGAGTACGATCCCTTTGTCACACCAAAGTCACCAATAGCCCTACAATTCCTTTGGTGATCTGCCTTTGCAACTCCTCATCCAAGAAGAACGATTTCTTCGAAAATCTAATTCCTCATCTTCATTCGATATTCATCATGCTTTGATTAGCCATGCCACTGCACCCATTCCCCCGTTCCAGGGGTCAGGGTGGACGTAATTCTACGGGCAGAAAATCTAGTCAGTGACATGGTAGAAGGTTCTCCACTAATGAATCGGGTTTGCAATCTGCCTATAATTGGTTCAACTCACAGTAATCATCAGCCCCGAATTTTAATTGCTCCTCTGCCTCTTCTGGTCAGTCCCATTGTGGTCTGAGGCCCTATGCTCCTCCATACACCTAGGGATGCATTCTCAAATCTTGGCCTAATCTTATTTGTCAAAACTATAACGAAAATAGGCACACCGCGCTATAATGTCAACAAACTGTTCAACCATGCCTTCACCACCAATGATCTCTCGGAATCCTTCTCAACTCTCTCGATTGGTGAGACTTCCGATCCCATGTGGTATCTTGATAGTGGAGCATGGGCACACATAACTAATGATACACTCCTAAAACCTAAAAAGCAAGTTGGTTGGGGATGCTCATTTATTTCCTATAAAGCCAGTTGGTAAAGCTTATTTACATACTGGTTCTCGATCTTTATTGTTATCTCATATCTATCATATCCCCAATCTTCTGGCTCACAATATTCTCTTCGTTACTCAACTTTTCCATATAAATTCCCGCACTGTTGATTTTGATGGTTCATCCATTTATTTGAAGGACCAACAAACAAGGAAAGTTGTCCTCCAAACTAACTCCTCTCATGGTTTTTATCCGATCTCCAACTCATTGGTGTCATCTCACTTGCATCCTATTGTGACGTCCTTCGCCTCCCTCACTCGCTAGCATGCTTGTCTTAGTCATTCTAATAAATATTTTTACTTGTGTTTGCAATTCAAGTTTTAAGATAGTATTTTGTGAATCTTGTTTAGTGGGAAAATCTCGTCAATTACCTTTTGAGTCTGTTAGTCATCTTGCATCTTTTCCTTTGGTTTTAATTTATTCTTATGTCTAGACGAGTCCATTTTATCTAAATTTATTGATGACTACTTTCGTGTCACTACGGTCTTTCCCATGAAAAAAAAATACAAGATGCCTACGCACTTTCATTATGCTGTGTTATAAAAAATCTAGGCAATACCAAAACTAAATTTTTATAGACCGATGGTGTGAGTGAATACACTAGTAATTCATTCTAAACATACTTACGTGACAATGGTTTTGTTCAATGTCTTTCTTGTCCACACACCCTATCTCAACATGGCTTGTACAAACGAAAAATCAAACAATAATGTGTTCGTTTGCCGAAAAATATTTTTCCGAAAAATATTTTCCGCGTTTTCCGGTGTTCGGGGGCGGAAAATATTTTCCGTGGGAAAACATTTTCCTTCCCTACCCCCAAATCCTTCATTGTTTTGAGGAAATCATTTTCCCCCAAATTGAAGGCAAAATTGCCCATGGGAAGGAAAATATTTTTCGTGGGAGAGGAAGTTGATCGCCGGTCACCACCGTTGGCCGCCGGTCGCTAGCCGCCCCCGCCGTCGCCCGCCGGCCCGGCCGCTGCCACCGGCCGCCGCGCCGCGGCCGCCGCGGCCGGCCGCCGCTGTGGCCTGTCGCGCTGGCGGCCGCCGCTGTCGCCGCCACGGCCGCCGGTCGCCGGTTAAAAATATTTTCAGAAACTTTTTCATATTGGTCGCCGAACACCGGAAAATTATGTTCCGGGAAAACATTTTCCAGGAAAATGACTTCCGGGAAAATATTTTCCAAAAGGAGAATATTTTCCGCCAAACGAACGGAGCCTAAGTCAAAATGTATAATCCATTCTCATATTCCTCCGATATATTGGGCTTATGCTCTTCTCACTATTGTTTACACTATTAATCGCCTTCCCACTTATCCCTTTAATGCTTCTCCTTTCCATTGTTTTATTTTGATTGCCGTTTGATTACTCATTCTTTCGTGTTTTTGAATGTTCTTGTTGTCCATTTCTTCCGTCTCATGTATTTCATAAGTTGGCACTTCATTCCATGCCATGTATATTTTTTGGGTACACGTAGAATCGCATAGGCTATCGTTGTCTTGATTGGTCGAGTGATCGTATTATTATCAGTTGTCATGTTTGATATGATGAGAATTTTCTCTTTTCATTGAATCCTTCACCCCTTTTAGTCTCGTAACTCACTGTTCCATATTAGCCCCTTCTCTTTTTCTTTCCTCAAATCAGCCGATTCTACCTTCTCCCTCCTTCGGCCCTTTCTCCTCCGATCTGCTCAAACTCTTCATTCGCCTCTCTCCTCTTCGCTAGCCCAACCTCTTAGCCGCCTCTCCCCACCTCTCGGCCCACCCAACCTACTTGAATGTATTTTTTCCCTGCACCACTTCTCCCTTCGACCAAACTTATTGTGCCCGAACCTGGCTCCTCTCCTGACCCGATTCCTTCCACAACATACCTGAAAGTCCTCTCTAACTTTATGTCTAGAACATTCTTCTCTTAACATCATCTTATGCAAACTCATGCGAAATCTGGAATTTCTAAATCATATTTATTCTTTATCTCTTTCACTCTTTTCACGAAGAGACATTGAGTTGCTATTCTTAGGCCATTCTTGAACAACATTGGAAAGTAGTTATCATGGATGTATTTTAACGCCTAGTCACCAACCATATGTGGGATCTTGTACCACTTCAAAGCTCATCATGTTTCATGGGCATTTAAGTGGTTGGCGAGACTGGACTATAACAAGACATTTGACCCGGTCGTTAA